TCATCAATAATCAACATGAAATATCTGTTCTTTGAAACAGATTCATTTCTCATAGGGCCACACAGATCTATATGCACTAATTCAAGTGCCTTGCTTGCTCTTTGAGCTTGTTCCTTTGGAAATACAACCCTGTGTTGTTTTCCCAATTGGCACCCTCCACACACACCACTTTGTTCTTCCAATTGTGGTAAGCCATGCACCATGCCTTTTTCTCTTAACTGGTTCAGACCTTTAAAATGCAAGTGACCTAGTCTCTTATGCCACATCCATGTGCATTGAGTGAAATTGGTTTTCATGAGCAGCTGGTTGTCAGCAAGAAAGGATACCGGATAGCATCTGTTACTCTTCATTGGTACTTTGATGATTAGATAATCCATAGATGGACTATCAAACACCCTGCACATTCCTTCTCCAAACACCAAACAATATCCATGTTGATCCATCTGCCCAACACTGAGTAGGTTTTCCTTCAACCCTGGCAGATACATTACCTCTCTGATGTATTTCCTGCCCTTTTCTGTGTCAATCATCAGTGAACCAATGCCTGCTACATTTACAAGTGCACCAATCGGCATTTGTACCTTTCCAGTCACATTAGTTCTCACATCAACCAGCAGTTTTAAATCTCCTGTCATATGATTGCTACAGCCGCTATCAACATACCATTCTCCATTGGCTTTGATTTCAGTGGTTGTGCAATTAGCATAAAACAGATTCCCTGTCACCTCCGTTTGATTTACATAATTTGCCTTCTGCACATTCTTATTCACAGTACAGTCCCTAGCAAAATGTCCAAATCTATCACAGTTATAGCATTTTGGTTTTCCCTTGTATCTGCACTCACCAAAATGATGCTTGGAACACACCTTGCATTGAGGTTTAGCATTCTCCTGGTTTGTGGAATTGACATTCTGTGCAGGATAACTGCTCTGCTGTGACTTGCCTTTTGATTCCCATGGCTTTCCTTTACAATTCCAATTTCCCTGTGACTTGGATGAACCAGACTGAGATCCATTTTTATTCTGACCTTTGGAACTCACAGTGAATTAGGCAAATGCTTTTTCATGTGAATCAACATTATGCATTTCAAACCGCTGTTCTTGACTCTTCAATATAGCAATGATCTCCTGCAACTCAATAGTCTCCAAACTTTTTGTATTTTCAATCACTAAACAGATAGGATCATACATTTTATTAAGGCTGATTAACACCTTCTGAACCAGCCTCTCATTAGACAGCACTTCTCCAAATGTTTTTATTTGGTTTATCAAATCATTCAACCGGGTGAGATATGCAGTTAATGATTCACCCTCATGCATCCTCATATATTCAAATTCTCTTATGAGATTCTGAAGTTTTACTGACCTGACCTGATCACCACTGTGATACTCACTGTAGAGCAGACTCCACGCCACCTTGGCTGAATCGGCGTTGGCAATCCGAGGGAAGATTTGGTCAGAAACTGCATTTTGTATGATTCCCAAGGCTTTCGCATCCTTCATGAGGATTGCAGCTGCTTTCTCATCATCTTCTTCCTCTGAGGTCTCCTCAGTTGCCTTCTTCTTCTTCTTCGAATCTGAAACTGGAATTCCCTTCTCTACCAAATTCCAAAGCCCATATGATTTGAATATGGTCACCATCTTAATCTTCCAAAACTCATAATTTTCACCAGAGAAAATTGGGGTTCTTTCCTCTGAGCTTCCAGATCTAGCCATGATTGGTCTCTGATTCCTCCAAAAACGAGTTGGTTTCAAATTTAGAAGAAAACCCAAATTTCCCGATGATTTTTTTCTTTCACAGATTGAATGCCCAGCTATTAGACAATCCAACTTGGCTCTGAGGCCATTTTAGTGTTTTCAAGTATATTGGAAACAGAGTGAGAAGAAGAGGAATAGAAGAAAGAAGAAAGAATTGACAAAATCTCTCTCTGCTATTCGTGTAGCAGAGAACCTTCTCATTCTTTAGATTGCAAGAATTGGTAC